TAACATTAAACAGGGATGAGAGGTGGGAGGGAAAGGGAGAGAGAAGGGAAATTGCATGGAAATGGAAGGAGACCCTCAGGGTTATACAAAATTACATACAAGAGGAAGTGAGGGGAAAGGGAAAAATAATACAAGGGGGAGAAATGAATGACAGTAGAGGGGGTAGAGAGAGAAGAGGGGAGGGGAGGGGAGGGGGGATAGTAGAGGATAGGAAAGGCAGCAGAATACAACAGACACTAGTATGGCAATATGTAAATCAATGGATGTGTAACTGATGTGATTCTGCAATCTGTACACGGGGTAAAAATGGGAGTTCATAACCCACTTGAATCAAAGTGTGAAATATGATATATCAAGAACTATGTAATGTTTTGAACAACCAACAATAAAAAATTTAAAATAAATAAATAAATAAAAAATAAAAAGGGCTAAGGATGTGACTCAGTGGTTAAGCGCCTAAAAACAAAAAAATAAAAAATAAAAGAAAGAAAGAAAATTGGAAAAAAAAATGGTTTCATCAGATAGTAAAAACAAATAGGATGTTGTAACCACAATTGTTAAAACTCTCTTGATTGAAAATAGCAGTTCACGGGCCAGGGTTGTGGCAGTGGTAGAGCACTTGCCTAGTATGGTGAGGCTCTGGTTTCAATCCTTGGCACCACATAAAGTTAAACAAATAAAATAAAGGTATTGTGTTAAAAAAAATAGCAGTTGAGGGGCTGGGGCTATACCTCAGTGGTAGAGTGTTTGCCTAGCACAGGTGAGGCACTGGGTTTGATCCTCAGCACCATATAAATAAAATAAAGTTTAAGAATATATTTTAAAAAATAGTAGTTCATATGAGTTAGCTAAGGGTGGTTTTTAGAAGATTTGGGGAGTATAACCAGACCTAAATGTAGAGATGCAGCTAAGCCTCAGCAGTGAACTAGAACCAGAAATTTGAAAGTACTCCAAACTCTTGTTTCTTTTTTGTTGCTTCTAAGCATCCTCCTCTCCTTGTTTTTTCTTCTTTGGATTTTTATTATGTTTTCAAAGCGGTCAAGGTCTTTAAAAAGGATAAGGATTACTGCTGCTATTTCACTACCGTTCAAAGAGAGGTAATAGAAACAATATTAAGGAAGTACATATTCCTTGATTACTAAAGATTTTGTTTTAAATCAAAAATTGATTTAAATAGTTCTTTATTTTCCTTTTTTTTTTATTAAGGTAAACCTACATGAAGTACACATATCTTTAGTGTGCAGCTTGATGGATTTTCTCATATGCAATCATACCAGATCAATACATAGAACATTTCCAATACCTCAGAAAGCATCCCATGCTAATTTAACCCCAAACATAACTGCTATTATCACTTTAACTTTCCTCTGTCTTGGTTGACCTGATAGTGGAGTGATAAAATGCACAAAGAAATAGAACATGTTCAGAAGTGCAATAGATATTTTAATAATTCATGGCTGGAGAACTATTTAACATGACCTACAATAAAAAAAATATTGCCTAGGATATACATATATTTACCTCTCCATACTTACAAATTTATCTATAAACAACATATCTTCCCTGATTTGCTAATCTATAGAGTCAAAAACATGGTGCTATGGACTGATTCTTTATGGCTTCTCCCCAAATTCATATATTTGAATCCTCACTTCCTAATGTGATAGTATTAAGAAGTGGGGCCTTTGAGAGGTATTTAGGTATTGTGGGTGTTAAGCAGGACTCGTACCCTCATAAAAGAGACCCCGTTGAGCTTTCTGGGCCTCTTTTTTCACCCTGTGTGTGTATAGTGAACAGTTGGTAGTTTGCAACCTGGAAGAGAGCCCTCAGCAGAACCCAACCACTCTGGGACCCTGGCTTTATATGTCTAGTCTCCAGAACAAACTTTTGCTGTTTATGTGACCCTTTCTATGGTATCTATTATTGTACCCACACTAACACATGGCCACCAAGCACTCGGTTGTCACCATCTTTATTCAGGAAACCAGCTAACGTTAGATTCTTACTCCCAATACCAAGTATCTGAGAGAGAGAGAGAGAGGTTTTATCATTCTAGTTTGAGTTTCACGTCTGCTCCTGAAGCAATTTGCTTTGGTCAGGGGCCTGTGTTCATGCTTATGTGAAATCGTCACCAGAGGCTCATAACTGTTGGCATTCAGATCTGGAAGATAAAAGTAGTTCTCAGAAAAGGAATGGGCTTGGAGGATAAGTTATTAGAACCATATCATTGTGCCAAATTTAAAGTTGACATCAGGTTCACCATATACTTGCTCTGTAATATTAGAAAAATTACTTCTTAATTTATGTAGTAAATATATAGTTTTCCTATTTGTTCCAGGAAACTCTGCTAAGTTCTAAGTAATAATATATATTTGTCCTCAAAATACTTAGAATCTAATAGGAGACAGACACAAAGATAAGAAATTCTATTAAGTATGACAAATACTATTAAAGTTATGCATTGATTATAATATTAGCATATGAGGGAGCATTAAACCTGGACTTGAGAGGTTAGGGAAAACTACCTAGAAACTTTCAAGTTGAGTCCTAAAGTCTTTACTCTGGAGTTGAGGGTGGGGGGGGGAGGGGGGGGTGGGGGGGGGGGGGGGGGGGGATGGGGAGTGGAGGGGAAGAAGAGGTAGGGGTAAGTAAGCAAAAAATGGCATTCCAAGAAGAGAATAATAGTTGTAAAATCAATTGGGATTTTTAAAAGCTGTTTTATTACAAAGATAATAATGAAGTTTTGATGGGGATTTTGCTGAATTTTAAAAATAATTTTAGGGAAACTGATAACTTGACAATACTGAGTTGTTGTTTTTTTTAAACCAGGGGGAAAAGTGTATTGTTTTTCCATATATTTGAGTCTTCATTTGTATCCTTAATGGAAATATAAAGACAAGGTTAAAAGTGCATATTTGGTTACTCCATTCATCTAATATGTGAGACCTTGACCTTGGGCAAATTTCTTGTTAAGCCTCAATTTCCTAGTCTGTAAAATGGGAACAACTATAGTACGTGCTTTTGGAGTTTCCCTCCATATGTTTTCCTCACACCACTTTGTATTTCCTTCTTTTGCCTCCATCCCTCCATCTAGCTTTTCAATTCCTCAAATAGGTTCTATATTGCTTCTAAACATAAACTTTTTTTTCCCCATGCTAGAGATGGCCCTACACTTGCTATGCAAACACTCTTACTGAGTAACATCCCCAGCCCTTATTTTGTTATTTTTGAATGTGATCTTTTCTCCTCTACATTTAAAAACAATTTTTTGTTGTTGTTAATGGACCTTTATTTTATGTATTTGTATGTGATGCCTCACACATGTTAGGCAAGCACTATACCACTGAGTTACATCTCCAGCCCTCTCCACTACATTTTTTAAATTAGCAATTATCATTTAGGAAAGTTATTTCTCTATTTTATTGAACTTGTTTCTGTTAATTCCCACGGATCCTCCTAAAAAAGCAATGATAATACTTAAAATAATTTTTTTGTTTTCTTCCCCAAATGCATATTTATTGTTTTGTTTTGTTTGGCATTACTGAGTTTAGTTAGGATCTCAGGAAAACATCTTGAAGAACAGGCCTGTCACTAACAATTTCATGGTCCAGGGCAAAAGTATATATATATATATAAAGGTCAACAAACCATATGTCCAAATATTTAAAGACTGTAAAACAAGTTAACCAACTGTTAGGTTAAAAACATCTATTATCCTACCTGACACACCTACCTTATAGCAACTACATATAACAATTTAGAGGGCCAGATTCAAATGTACAATTCTTGAGTACCACATCTCCCTATTATACTAGAGGTATCCTATTTCAGAATAACACCAATGACTTTTAGACCAAAAGGTCATTAAAAGACATTTTGCCATGGTATTGCTTAATACTTCTATTTTCACCTTAAAATTAAATTTTGATAAACATGTCATTCCTAGGGCTAATTGCAACATAAGCATCAGTATTCAGTATAACCCCAAAGAATATTCGAACTGCTTAGGAAATTTTGTACTTTATCTTAGATATTGCTTTTCAAGACTTTGTTAGCCACCTAATATGTAGTCCACAATTTCTATCTCCATTCCCATGCCAATAGAAGACCTTAAGAACTGAATTTCCTTAGAAATGGCTTGAACATCCTTAAGACTTCTGAAAAGAAGGCTTAGAATGGATACATTCTAAGCAAGCTATCTGAATATTCACAGATACATAATTTTAAAAGGGCTGGGTCTGGAAGTTAGGCCATCCAGAGAGGAGGACCAATGACCTGCACAGGGCTTCAAAATCAGCCACCTGCTTGTTCTTGTGGTAGCAACTGGTCTAACTGGAATAACTTGAGAAGGAAATTAGAAAAACCAGCTGGGAGGTACAGCTCTGTCACCAAGGAGCTGAACTGCGGTGAGTCACTTAAAACTCTTTGTTGAGTTTCAGTCATTACCTATAAAATCGAAATAATGCCAGTTGCCTTAAGCACTTCACTGGTTTTTGGAGAAAATCCCAGTTTGTCTGAGCTTCCACTTCTGTGCCTGTTGCAGTTAAGATAAGCACTCCTACCTTGTCCACTTCACAGGGCTTTGAGGCGGGAAAAAAGGCACAACCTTTCTGAGTTTCCGTTTCTACACGTGTAAAAAACAAGACACAAGGCCAGCCCATCAATAAAATTCTAGATAGGACAGAGGAAAATATGCAGGAAAACTGCAAAATGCAGAGAGCTATACAGATGTGAACTGCCTTACAACATACCATACAAAGAGACCTAAAAAACGCTGGTGCATCTCTTCCCGGCTCCAGTGTCACAAACCCACCTTTGTAAAGCAAGATCACTTTTTTTTTTTTTTTTTAAAGTTGTGGTCCATAACGGTGCCCTCGTTCGCACTCACTGCGCGCGCACCATCCAGCCCCCCCGCCGGCCTCCAAGGACCGAAGGGGGCGGGTCTCATCCGGCCCCGCCCCTGGTGACGCCCCGCCCAGCCGCGCCTGCGCCGGCGCCGTGCGCACCGACCGGCCTCGAACGCCCCGGCGGGAGGTAAGGGGCTCTCGGGAGGCCTCCTAGGGTGCGTCGGGCCTGACAGGCTATGTTGGCGGGGCACCGACCCTGAGCGCGGGAGAGACGTCTGGCGGGAAGCGGGACACTAGGTTGGAAGTGTGAGCACCGCGCGGGCTCCTCTCGGCTACAAGAAGTGGCGGAGCCTCACCCGGTTTCGTTTTTTGGTGGAAGCGGGTGTAGGGAGGCCGCCGACTGGGCGAACGGGATGGCTCCTGGAACTGTGGGGTGGAAGTACCTGGTGTCTACCCTGCCCGTGGCACACTGTGGGCCCCAGTTCGCCAGGGTCGCCCGCGTCTGGGTCCCGGGACCCGACCGCACACCTTTTCGCTGCTGGGGTGATTGGTGTGTGTGACCCAGTGTGACCCAGGTGCGCTGTGGGTGACACTGCGAGGGATGACGCGACGCTCATGGGTACAGTGGGGAGGATTGGAGCAAGAGGCCGGAGCTTCCTGTCAGCCAGACCAGGAGGTCGTTTCCAGAAGGTCCCACACCTAGCTCCCTCCTTTCGATGTCCAAGGCCCAGAGAGGAGACTCCAGAGTGGGACCAAAGGCCTTAACCTTTGTCTCCAAATTCTGTACCTCTTGCATCAGTAAGAAACACAGAGCGACGTGCCCGAGAAAATCAGGCGCCACCACCATGCCCACATGTGAGATCTCTAGGTTCATCACTTTTAGGAAGATGTTCATTACTTTGGGTGAATGGTGTTGCCAGCGATTTTGAACTTTTTCTGGGAAATGGGATTTTTCACTTATAAATAACTTATTAAGTACTTTCCTTAATTTTTGAGTACTTTTTCATCATCAGGAACTTGGGTGTCCTGTACCCATCCCCTTTTAGTTGTAAGCACTAAATGATAAAGTTTGTAAAGCACCTGGTGCACTCCTGGCACCTCTTATTCCAAGTTTTCCTACAAGGAAATGATTGCAGTTCTTTGGCTTATAAAAGTTTCTGTCTGTCTTCTATGAAACATTATTTTTGGTACATGAAAAGACTTCTTATTTTGAAATAATTTTACAATTACAGAAAAGCTACAAATATAATACAGGATTCTCTAAGTCTCCTGTTAATGTCACCATTCTAAGCACCATAGTACAATCGAAAGCAAGAAATTAATCTCAAAACAATACTATTAACTGAACAACTAACTTCCTTCTGATTTCATCATTTTTTTTTAATAGTAATGTTCTTTCTGTAGTCCAGAACCCAATCTAAGACCCCACATTTAGTTGTCATAGTTCCTTCATCTTTTCCCATCAATGACAATTGCTCACTCTTTTCCTGCTTTCATGACCTTTACACCTCTGAAGAGTCCTGGTCAGGTATCTTGTAGAGTGCCCCACAAATGGTGTTTTTCCCATGGTTTGTAATGATTAGATTAAGGTCATATGTTTTTGTTAGTACAAAAAGTGTATGTGCCCATTTTAGTTTCTTGTATCAGGGTACATGATATGATTTATGGCTTGTGATGTTAATCTTGATCACTTAGTTAAGATGGTGTCTGCTGGGATTCTCCACTACAAAGGTTGGTTTTTCCCCCTTATAATGAATAGATAGATATCTTGGGGGAAAACTTTTAGATTATGCAAATATCCTGTTTCTCCTCAAATTTCCCTTGCTAAACTTAGCATCCATTGGTGTAATTATTACCATAGTGTTTAAATGGTGATTTTCTACTTTTTTCATTTCTTCTTTATTTATTAATTGGAATTCTTCTATAAAAGAGTTGTACATTCTCCCCATTCATTTATTTGTGTTAAGCTATTTATTTGCATCCGTGTAGACCTAGTTATTTTTCTTTTATTTTGTTATTAATTGTTTCAGCTTTGACCATTGTGAGTTTGGTTTTTGCTGTTGTTGTTTGTTTGCTTTCTGTACCCTTTTTATATGCTCTTCTCCTTTATTGAGAATGTCATTTCTTTCTGGCATCATAAAATGTTTCATATCCATTTTGTGTTGTCCCTGCCCAGACCCTGAATCAGGTTTCTTTTTTGGAGAATGGTGTTTAGATACCAACTTCTGAACTTTAGGTGTGCTCGTTGCTACTATTAACTGAACACCTAACTTTCTTCTGATTTCATCATTTTTTAAATAGTAATGTTCTTTCTGTAGTCCAGAACCCAATCTAAGACCCCACATTCAGTTGTCATAGCTCCTTCATCTCTTCCAATCAATGACAATTGCTCACTCTTTTCCTGCTTTCATGACCTTTACACCTCTGAAGAGTCCTGGTCGGGTAGAAAATGGTAGAGAAATATTATAAAATACTAGCTAGAAGGAGACCAAGAGTTGAAAAGCCTCTTGGGAGATTCTTGGAGACAGATTGTCTTTCCTGGGAGATCACCATTGCCGTGATATGTTTGCCTTGTACACAAAGGGTGTCATTGTTTTTAGAGCCTTTTAGAAGACAGCTGTATATGTATCTACACATCCATGCACACAAGATGATCTATATTTATTTCTGTATTTTATCTACCTATATATATTTTAGGTTCAGCCCAATGATTCCAGTTCTTTTCTGACATCACCAGGTTCATCTAGTTTTGTCCCTTATTTTTAACTTATTTCTCTGACAAAAATCTGGCTCGCATGTTATGTGAAACATTTCCTTATTTGTTCAATCTTATTATACACATAAAGTAATTTCAGGATTTCTAATCTGTATCCCTATGAGAAACCAATTTACTAGCACACAGTGCAGTTGTTTTTGTCTTTAGCCTTATTGTATTTTGTTAAAATATTGTTTTCTGAAGTTACTTATATTGTTTTATTCCCTATTTCTTTCCACATAGCTATGTTATTCATTTATAATACAGTTAATGATATTTTTAATAGTTTATGTTTCATTTTGGTTTTCTTCCACATCTTATTCTTGTTTTTAAATTTATATACACTTGCATTCACTCTTTAAAGTGTACAGTTCTGTAGGTTTTAACAAGTGCCTATAGTTGTGTATGTACCATCACAATCATAATAATTTCATAAGAATGATCTTATCACTCCAAATACTTTATTACACTTTTGAAAATATTAAACAATATTAAAATATTAAAAATAATATAACAACTTTACAGGAGTTTGGGAGATTAGGCACTTTTTTGTATTGCTTTATCTTTTCTCAAACATATTTTACACAGGTGAGCTCTTAATATGAATATTTTTTTATCCTCATGTTTTAATTGTACCATAAATATTACAGTTTTATGACTGAAAAATCAAGAAATGGCAAAATATATTTTCATTCATTATTCAATCATACTTTTAAATCACATTTAGATGTTGAATTAAGATCATCCCATTATAACTAACAAACATTTGAGCTATTTTATGATCACTAAACATTCTGTGCCAATAACATCATGATATCTGCAATTATTTGCATGCTATTATTAGTTTTATAAAGAAATTTTATTGTAACTTTAAACATAGAAAATGGTAGAGAAATATTATAAAATACTAGCTAGAAGGAGACCAAGAGTTGAAAAGCCTCTTGGGAGGTTCTTGGAGACAGATTGTCTTTCCTGGGAGATCACCATGGCCGAGATAGGTTTTCCTTGTACACACAAAGCTGAGGGACAAAATCATACAATATACCTGGAAATGCCACATTTGGAATTCAAAAAAGAAAGCTATTATACAACAATGAAGGAATGATGATAACAAGCCAAAATAGTTAATAATAAGGGATTGTTAAGTACACCACAGACTGATTAGTAGAAGACAAGACAGATCACTTGAGTTACATCTCATCTGTTAAATGATACATAAGGTTTAGAGGCAGATGAATATCAAAGTGCATCTAGACAGAGGGAACATCATTCCAAAACTAGAATTACAGACATGGAGATAATAATTGACCAGATAAGACAGATCTACTTATAAACATTTTCTTATTCAGATAATAGTGAATACTGAAAGGTTTTGTGTAGAGAGATAAGATACTGCAATTGGCTTATATGTGTGTGTGTGTGTGTATAAATATATATGTACACTTATAAATGTGTGTGTGTATATATATATATATATATATATATATATATATATATATTCATTAGTGATAACTCATAGGAAAAGTTGGAAAGGGGAAAGAATCTAAAGGCAGACAAATTAAAGATGTGTATCATGTGCTATGCATATTTTGCTGTTTGGGTGATAGGATTAAAATAGTGAATAAATGTTTTAGTTCAGATAGCATCTATTGAGCAACAGGTTATATTAGGAAACACTTCAATAGGAATGATAGTAGACCTCAAGATATTTTCCTATAGTACATAATCTGCACAGTAGAAGAAAGCACAAAAGGCAACGTAATAAACTGGGAAATGTTAACATTAGACAAATAATCTATATATTTGGCATATAATAGACTTTTATAAGTTAATAATAAATAGACATTCTCTGTAGTAAAACAGATGCATAACATGAACAGGTAATTCACAGAAGAAGAAATGCAAATGGCTAATGAATCAATCCTATTAGTAATTTAATGAATGCAAACTAAAGCAATGTGAGACACTTCTTTTTCCCCACCAATTAAATATCTAAGATATCTAAGAAGAAGGGAAATACCAAGTGAATTGGTTGGAATGTGGATAAATGGACATTGTGATATGTTGCTGGTGGAAATGTAAATGGACACAATCTTCGTTGGGACATTTGGGAAAATGTGTGTAAATGTACTTTTAAAATGTGTCCTCCAAGAGCCCTCATCAGAAAAAGCCACATTGGCAACCTGATCTTGGACTTTTAGCCTCCAGAACTATGAAAAAAATAAATATCTAATGTTTAAAAAATGTGTCTTCCTAATATTTCTATTAGGTATTTTTTAAAGAAATAACCATAGGTGCCAGTATGAATCTATATGTAGAGAGAATAATTACTGTATTCTTTATAATAGTGGAAAATTGGGAAACTAAGTAGCTAACAATATGATTACATTATGAATCACATATATATGATGCTATTTTGCTGCTATACAAAGTCATATCATAGGAAATTATTCACGTAGGAACATTTTTCTTATATTTAATCATGTTATTCAGAATAAATCATTTCTTCTTTTAGTCACTCATTTATTATATCCAGTACTAATTTATTATATTCAATGCTCCTTGCCATTCTACTCCTTTGAGTTTGTTTTCTTTATTGTTAAAATATGGCTTTAAGTGGGCTGGAGTTCTGGCTCAGTGGTAGAGCGCTTGCATAGCATGTGCAAGGCCATGGGTTCAATCCTCAGCACCACATAAAAATAAATAAATAAAATAAAAGTATTGTGTCCAACTACAACTAAAAAATATTTCTAAAAAATATGGCTTTAGTAATTCTTTTAATGAGGGGTTTTGTAATAAACTCGGTCTCTGTATGTCTGAAAATGATTATTTTGCCTTCACTGTGAATGATAATTTATCTAGGTATATACCAGCTTCCTCAGTACTTTGAAGATATTCCTATTTTTTGATATGTTGCTTTTATAAAAAGGTTTCTGCTTCTGTTGTTTACATTCATCTGTCTTATATCTCTAGTTTTCTTTTAAGATTTTTTTCTTTATCCTTGGTATTCTTCAGTTTCCTTTCTATATGTTTAGGTATGTTTGGTTTTTATTTATACTACTTGGGCTAATGTGTTTTTCCAGTTTGAGGTCTTACAATCTTGATTCTCTGCATGTTCTCTTTGAATAATTTATTTTCATTCTTTTCTTTATTCCCTATTTGTTCTTGATCCTGTCATTTTATCCTTTATGTCCATTATCTTCTTTTTAAAATCTCTTCATCTTTTTATTCATCTATGTTCTAAGTGATATCTTTCAATAAATACTTCTTTTTTTTAGCTATATAGTTTACTGTTTAATCCATCTTTTGAGGTTTTATTTCTTGTCTCTTAGCTATAAATTTTCCTATTTTATTGGATTTGTAGACTCTCTGTTTTGACAATTAATTTTATGTTCCCACTTCCCATTCACTACTGCAGCAATTTTGCCCTCTTTGTTTCTGGTGTTTGGAAATTTTCTTTTTAAAAACTTGTGTCAGACATAAGAACCAGATTACTAGTGGATAGGCAGTGAAGGCAGTTTTTATAACCAACACTTGAAGATTTTTCAGCTGTGAAAGAAAGAAGAAAAATAGACATTATTTAGAGTAGTAGCTCTTGATGTTTTGGGGGGGAGGTAATAGATCTCTTGAAAGCAATGGACTCTAAAGATAACAGGGATGCACAAAGTCTAAATGTGAACTCCTATCTCTCCGAACCCTGGGCTGACACCATAAACCAATGGTATTAACCTTGTCAGCTTAAATATATATATATATATTTTTAATATGGGAAAGGTTGTATCTATTGAGATGGCATGTAAGCATGGTGTACAATAGTGGTTTTCAAGTTTGGCTAAGCAATGGAACCCATTAATTCACATAAGATGTGATGAGCTCCAATTTATAAAATAGATGTAAATAAATTTTCTGCAACTGAAACAAGGCTTAGCTTCTGGAGCCTGCTCACTTCTAGCCCCTTCCCTCTCCTATCCTGGCCCTTGGACTTCCTGGGTATGATAGAAAAATGATGAAATAGAAAAATCCTCTCATTGTAGTGTCAGGAAATCTAATTCTTAATACAATTCTGTCACTGATTATTTGAGTCAGTTGCAATCAATATTAATCACTTTGTCAGAATGGGAAGTGTAGATCTACAGGACATCCCTGGGAAGAGTTCTGCATGTTAATATATTTGAAATATATAATTACATATTTAAATTTTGATGACATTAGAAGCACATTTTGATGCAAGCAGAAATATTAGAATGAATTTTTTCCTTCAAGTTTCACCATTTGGGCCGGGATTGTGGCTCAGTGGTAGAGCGTTTGCCTAACGTGTGAGGCACTGGGTTCGATCCCCTATACCACATAAAAATAAACAAATAAAATAAAGGTATTGTGAAAAAAAAAAAGTTTCACTGTTTGACTCCTTTTTTAAAAGGTTATTCAATGTCCAGGATACATGAAACTTGCACTGCATACTCCTTTTTATAAAATATATTTACATAGAAAAAGGCTTGGAGAGACATACACTGAAATGTATAGTAGTTAACTAAAAATGAAGAGATCATTGTTAGTTTCATTTAATGTCTTCTTTTAGTTAGATTTCATTTATAAACCTTCTAGAGTGAATATATACAACTTTCATAAAGAGAAAAAGATTTTGAAATGCATGGTTTCATAAAGAAAAAATAAGTCAACTCAAGTTCAGCATTAAGTTGAATACATATTTAGGATAAATTATAAATCTACCTAACTGTTGATTTAAACTAATGAAAACTGATTGAAAAACATTCTTAAGAAATTTTTCCCTTTTAGGTTTTTCTATATGAGTGGAGAAGACAGTTGCTGCAAGTGAAAGTGACATAACATTTCTCTAGGATGTCTGAAGATGAAGAAAAAGTGAAATTACGCCGTCTTGAACCAGCTATCCAGAAATTCACCAAGATAGTCATCCCAACAGACCTGGAGAGGTTAAGAAAGCACCAAATTAATATTGAGAAGGTAACCTTTTTCATTTTCTACCACAAGAAATTGTTACATAATATGATTTATATTTGTTGCATTTTCCAGCTAAATTAAGAATATTAGACAAAAGGCTTTGTTAAAATACCTAACTCCTGATGATTTAGTAACATTATTCATTTTTTAAGCTGGTGTTTCTGTTCTACAAATATATTTCTTTTTCTAAGGAAGTAGTGTAGGAATAGATTCTATGCCTTTTTAATTGTATATGTGGAGGTGTTAGGCAGTTAGTAATTAAATAAAAATAATGCACCATAATGTGAAGGAGGGGAACTTTGGATAATGGACCTGTTTAATTTCATTCAGCCCGTGGCAAGTTTTTTTGAACCTTGAGGGTGTTATCAGTCTAACTCCTATCCTTTTCAGGTGCAGATATATTAAAGAAGTAAATCAATTGTGTGACATAAGGGAATTTCCTTACTTGAGGAAAGCCTCAAATAGGTACATACTGTTTATATCTTTTGAGGAAATAGAAAGAAGATAGCTTAGTCTCAGGAACTATGGTGGAGATTGCATAGAATTTACACTGGCCAGGGTCTGGTGGATGGATTTTGGAATTTATGTCAACATCAAGTTTACTGAGCACTGAGTATTGACTTGGCAGGTTATGATCTCCTATTTGCTATGAGACAGTCCAGTGACATTTGTTCTTTCAAAAGGAACTCTACCAGTATAAGTTTAAAATTAGAGTTCTCCACTGGTGGTTTTCTTTTGATTTTTTGGTTGGGTTGGAATATCTGGTCATTAGGCCTTGACATATTAACACTCTTCATTGCCTTCAACTGAGCATTTATACCAGAAAAATGCCAGCTTTTTCTACCATGGATACCATGTATTTTCCAAGTAATACAGTTCTTTTAAAAATACAGAAAATAAGTGCCAGAAATACTAAATGGAAATTTCAATGCAAATATGAAACTGTCTCTAGAATTCAGGGTCAGTATTTTGTCATTCCTTAATTTCTTTCTTCTTTACTCATAAGCAATAGGTGATGCCATGACTTTTAAGGACGGTGAAATAGTTGTCTGGTAAACTGGTTATTCTTGTCATGAATGGAAACAAATTAAAGGGTTCCATGCTTTGCTTAAGAAGAAGGCCTGGTTCTTTTAGCTCTATAATATATAAATAGACTTGTTTACTTTTGATTGATCATCTCCATGTAGAACGTTTGATAAGATGTGTTTCAAAGTCCTGACCTCATACTGAAGTGCTCAGTTACAAAGAATATGGGAATTTAGCAAATGAATTGATTCTGAAAGGTAGAAACAGGTGGATTATGGTGTATTTAAGGCCATTTCTTCCTTTTATTGTCATAATTACCTTTGAGCTTTGACATGTCTTAGAGTTCTCTTTTCTTATATTTATTCTATAAAAAATGCCTCCTGTCATTATCTCAGATCGTAGCCACTTGAATGACCAAATCAGTCATCATCAATGGCAAAGCCAGAATCCTGGGAGAAAGGTAGTTGAGATAGATTCGGGTCTCTTGTTGATTTCACTAATTGTGCCATGTGTCATCAGAAAATTATTCCAGGTTAGTTACATTGATTCCTCTTTGCCCAAACATTTACTATTAGTGTTTTGTGAAAGTTTTACTTTTTGTGAAAATTTCAGACATTATTAGAATAATTATAAGTGATATTATCTTAAGTCAAGCAGCTAAATTCATACTGAACTAGGCTTTGTTTTATATCCTTGATCATTCTACTATCTGTAGGACTTCTAGTTTAATAAGAAAGTAACATTTTGTATAGGATTGACTAGTTTATTTTAACGGTTATGTTATGGCAGTGTAAAAACATTTGAAAGCTGCAGTGCTCTGGACAAAAGAATTAAGAACTAATTTTGGACTCCAGGTGTCTGACAGTGCCTCACTTCAAAAAGCCATATTCTTCTTGGGAGAAAGGTGTAGAAAGATAAAATATTTATTATGCTGGCCATCAGTCATCCAATATGAATTTAAAAGAAGAAAGACTGAAGGGAAATTGAAGGTAAGCCTTAGTGGCGTGATTCTGCAACATCTGAAAACAATGAGAGTAGTGTGCTGTGGACACCTGGAGCTGTATTCCATAGGTCCTTCAGCATTTCATTTTATTATACATGATAAATTTTATTAACATGTAATCCTGAAATGCAAAGTGTTAGCACTCAGTTTGCTTGGCTAATGTAAGATAGACTTGAGCATAGTTAATAGGGATGACAAGATGGTAAGCTTGGAACATAACATTCTTTGTTTTGTATTGTAGGGATTTGGGGGAAATTTTAATTTGTAGCACATACACAGTATTAGTTAGCATGTATTAGTTAGGATATGGTAAGGATCAAGTGAAAGAAAACCTCCAAATAGTATAAAAAATGGTAGAGATTTTGTGCTTTTGTTTTGCTTTGGTCTTTACTATCTCATGGTAATGGAGGCAGTCCAGGCCTGCAATGGCAGCTCAGTGGTCATGAAAGACCCAAGCTCTTTTTATCTTGTTCTCCATCTTAACTTGTTCTGTCCTGTATGTCAAATGTCTACTCTAGCACCAGCTATTGCATCCACGTTCCAGCTTAAATAGAGCTACTGGAAATACACATTACTGTGTGTGTGTGTGTGTTTTTTCTCTCTTAATGTGCTTATGTACATGTACACACCCAAATACTCTCAACTTTTCAAAAGAATCCTTGTTTCATGGATCCAGTATCATATCATCTTTCTATAGTGGTATTATTTTTCAAGTCTTCTTCTGTTTCTTTGTTTTTCCTGAATGAGTCCTTCCTTCCTTCCTTCCTTCCTTCCTTTCCTTCCCTTCCCTTCCCTTCCCTTCCCTTCCTTCTATAATATTATAGGTCTCCTTGGCTGGCTGTTGATTTTTAAGAGTGCTAATCAGAAGGTACAGGTGTGTGTATGTTTCTGCGTGGGTAGTTGAATAGCAAGATAGTAGTGGGGACCTTGTCTAGAGAGGTGAACAACTGAAGATTTTGATGGGGAGCTACCAGATGCCAGTGTCTGTAGCTACTCAGGATACAGACAGCTTCTAGTCCTTGTTGTTGGGGCTGTTTATTTTATCAGAAGTGATGGTTGTGGTGGAGGTGGGGGTAGAAAAGTTGAAGGGGTGGATATAGTATAAATTTCGTGGGTAAGCAGAGAGCGGATCTGGTAAACAACCTGCTCCTTACATAAACTTTCAACCAAAGCTTCTGCTTTGTGCCCCACTACGTACTTCCACTGGTGACTTTGGTAGCTGGTATCTCTGGTTCATAGCCCTCCTGGAGGAGAGCAGTGCTTTTGGCCTGTTCTCAGTGTCTCTTTCCCACAGAGTCCTCCACTTCTGCAGGCTGAAGTTCCAGCTTTCTCGGACCTGCTGAATCAGTTGCACATGTCTGTATTCTTTCTGGCTTCCAATTCTTTGTTAAAATTTCTTGTCATTTGATGTTTTCCATTGTATTCTCATTATTCATGTTAATTTATACCTTTTAAAGTTCCTTTTCCTCATTTAATGGGGTTTCAAAAAAGAGCAGAGATGAATGTTTGTATTCAAGCTGCCAGGTGTAATGAGAAGGAAAATTATTTATTACAGGAAATAAATGTTAGCTTTTCATAAGTATTTATTGGTGTTTGTTGTTTGTTGTTCTTAGATTGTTAGCATTGAAGGATATGTAAAAATAGATTTTTAGTTCTCAAGAAGTTTGCAGTCCAGTTAAAGAAATAAGATTAGAAATATTAAAAAATGATGAGGTAATGTATAATTATGTGTGGAAATGGGTGGCATGGATTATACTATTTAAGCAGCATGAAAACTGAACTAAATGGTACAAAACCATACATAATCAGTCTTACTTGTTATTTATTTATCTGTGCAATTTTTTTCTTCATATTTATTTTTTAATTTATAATTACATTGAAAATCAATTTCTCTATTTAGTTGTTGAATATCTACTTACTGGATTGCATTGCTTCTCATGAGAAGTCTCTGTCATTCTTTGTTTTTTTTAATTATTATTTTTATTTATATATGACAGTGGAATGCGTTTCAATTCATGTTATACATATACAGCACAATTTTTCATATCTCTGGTTGTATACAAAGTATATTCACACCAATTCATGTCTTTATACATGTACTTTGGATAATAATGTCCATCACATTCCACCATCATATTCTTCTGTACTTCTGTACTCTAGCTGCTTTTAAGATTTTTTTCCTTTATCGCTTTTAAGTAGTTTTATAATATATGCATCAATGGATTTTCCTTTCTGTTTCATTTGTTTGTTCTTTGAGCTTCTTGTATCTTTGGGTTTATGTTTTTTATCAAATTTGGGAAAACTTTGGCCATTTAATTTTTTTTAATTGTTTACTGCCCTTTCTCTCCTTCTTCTCATGAAATTTAACTATATGGAGAGTGTATTGTTTTTCTTTGGCCCATGACTCATTGATTCTCTGTTCATTTATCAGACCCATTTTTACTTTCTGTGTTTCATTTTGTATAGTTTATATTGTTATGTCAAGTTTACTAATCTTTCCTTCTACATTGTTTTATCTGCTTTAATTCCATTCAGTGCATTTTACATTTCAGATTTTTTTAAAAAATATTTTTTAATGTTGACGGACCTTTATTTTATTCATTTATTTATATGTGGTGCTGAGAATTGAACCCAGTGCTTCACACATGTGAGGCAAACACTCTACCACTGAGCCACAATCCCATCCCCTCAGATGTTGTTTTCTAACTCTAGGAATTCACTATTTTAAAGTGAATTCCTAGAGTTAGAATTTATGTCTCAGTATCCTTATATTTTCTTCTAATTCTAGAATACATGGAATGCATCATAATGACCCTTTTTAATATCTTTGTCTATTAATTCCATTGATTTTATTATGTCTGGGTCTGTTTCTGTTGATTGGATTTTCTCATTATAGATCATATTATTCTGCCTTTTTACACACATGGTGATTGTTTATTGCATGCCAGACATTGTGACATTTATTGTGTACTAAATAGTGATGAATTATTTTAAATATATTTGAACTTTGTTTTGAGGCACAGTTGAGTGTCTCAGGTAAGTTACTTGGGAACACTTTGATTCTTTGGAGGCTTTCTTTAAAGCTTTCTTATGTATGACCACAACAGCCTTGAGTTCAGGGTTAATTTTCCCCCACATTGGCAATACTTTGAAATAGTCTAGCTGATACCTAGTGTATTTGATGGTTTTCCCATTCTTTCTTGTGGTCACATAAAATGTGTCTGGCCTTTTGTGACCATTAGGAAGTATTCTACTGGTTTCTTTTCTGTGGTTCTTCTTCTGACTTCAGGTTCTTTCTTCACATGCATGTGCTAATCAGTACCCAGCTGAAGACTCAAAAGGAAAACCCTGATGTTCTCTCTCAGAGTAGTCCTCTCAGTTTTCTTCTCACCATGCAGTTCTTTCCTCTCTGGCATTCTACTCCATGAATTCTAGCCATTGGCCTCTACAAATGTTCAATTCTGCTTCTTTAATGTTAATTTTTTTTTAAAATATCATGACAAATTAGTGATAAGTAATAAATTTCAAAATGGTTTATTCCAAAAAGTATATCTTTGGTTTCTTTTCTCAAACTTAGTTGAAGGAGCAGGTTGGAATATTAAATAAGAGGATCATGATAGGCCTTATTGAGAGAGTAAGATTTGAGAAAGCACATGAAAATCATGAAAGAATTAGTCTAGTGAATATCTTGGGAGATCATTTGAACAGAAGGAACAGCTACAGCAAAGGACTTAAGAAAGGAGAGAATCTAGTGTGTTTAAGGGCAAGCAAGGAGAGGCTGAGCAAGATAGAGAATACTATGAATAAGCTCACAAGGGTAACAAGAAGAAGAAGGAATAAAAAAAAATACTATAACACTACCTAAAAAAGAGCATTCATACTGAACCCGATACTTTTCTTATAAATGAAAGTGTTTTGATGATATTTATGACTATATATTAAGCTTAATATATATATTAAGTTTAACCATTAGTATTTAGTTTTTAGACAATATAAAAATCTTACAAATATCAAGAGTTTATTTTACTGCATCATTCACTACCAAATTTAAAGATTATGAAGAACAAAGAATATAAAAATGTCCTAGACAAAATTTTCAGTGCTCTCCTCTTATGATTTATTATGTCTTTCATGCATGTATGCGGTATTTTCATTTTTTCTGTCTTTTCAAATCATTGCTAAGTTGATTCTGTTTCAGTGTAGAATATATAAAAAATGTCTTTAATGTCATTAGTCACTTCTCCTAACATTTTAATTTTTTGAATCTTTTATTTCAACTAAACATCATATGTGATATTTGGTATTGATGTTTATATGCTATATAAATGCTTTTCTATAATGTTATTACATTTTCCTCTGGTTCTTGTCAAATGAAAAAATTTTCATTATTATGCTTATGAAGTTTCTTGGATGATATTCTGAAAGCTAAATATTGCTTTGGTAAAAACTGAAACACATATGTTACATCTTTAATCTCGTTTTTGTTTACTATCTAGTCTGCAGTCTCGATGTTACTTTTTTTCAAATTCAGATTTTAATTTTCAATATTTTGTACTGACAAACATTTAAAATTCATAGTACAAACCAAGAATGTATAAGGAATGGGGTTAATCTTTTTATTTTTCACATTCTCTTACATTTTCTTTCTTTATATTTTCCATCTCCAAAAGTGTTTACAATATTGACAAAAATACATATTTTTTTTCTATAAAATTAAATAACCTAGATCTGTTTATCTTTTGTTTCTTTTATTATTTCCTTTGTATGTAATATTATCAAAAACTTCCTACTTATATGGTCTTTGGAAAGTTAACTACTACCACCAAATCACTATCTTTGATATATTTAAGTTTGAGAGATTTTTGTGGTAACATGACAATGAAATAATCCTTTAGTGATGAAAAATTTAGTACCTTTTTCCTCTCTTTTATGTAGTATCAACGGTGCAGAATCTGGGACAAGCTGCATGAAGAGCATATCAATGCGGGACGTACAGTTCAGGTAAGGCTATAATATTATTTCTGGTAAATCAATGTGAAAAAGTCAGTCTTGGAAAAGTTTTTGCTAAAATAATGCAGATTGAGTGTCCAGAATGCTATGACCAAAAAGAGTTTTAGATTTCAGATTTGTGGGGTTTTTAAATATTTGCATGTGTGTATTATGTTATCTTGGGGGTGACACCCAACCCTAAATAAGAAATTTATTTTCTGTTTCATATACACCTTTAACATATAGCCAGAAGGTAATGTACAATTTTTTTTTTTTTTTTACTGTACCTGTGTTCTGACTGCAACCTGTCACATGAGGTGAGGTGTGGAATTGGTGTGGAATTTTCTACATATAACTTAATGTTGATTCTCAAAATCTTTGGAATTTTTGTATTGGGGTGGTAGGTGTATATTCCTCTGTGCCTGAATCCTTTTAATGTATTTGTTATTATTTCCATAAGGATACATTTTTTAGTAGGACTTTCTGAATCACGTATCATACATATTTTTAAAATTTTATTTCATATTATCAAATTTTTCTACAGAATTGATACATTACCTTACTCCCTTACTCTCTCCCAATCAATACATTTTTCCAAAAACCTTTTGCTAAATTTAGGTAGGTTAAGATAGTGCTACTTTTTTTTTTTTTAATTGCTTTGATAGGTGAAGGTTTTTTCACATATGTCTTGGGCAATAATATTTCTTAATTGTCTGTTTATGTTGTTTGCGATTATTATATGCTGACATCTTTTATAAGATTACCTTATAATTTAAAATATATATTTATTCTATATATAATATGTATTGCAAATACTCTTTGCTAGTTGCTTTTTTTTTGGTACCGAGGATAGTACCCAGGGGCACTTAACCACTGAGCCACATCCCCAGCCCTTTTTTGTATTTTATTTAGAGACAAGATCTCAATGAGTTGCTTTTCGGGACTAAGTTGCTAAGGCTGGCTTTGAACTCAAGATCTTCCTGCCTCAGCCTCCCCAGCTGCTGGGATTTAAGGCCTGTGCCACTGCACCTAACTTAGTTATTTCCTTTTGAAAAATTATATTAGACAAAGGTGCCAAGAACATGCATTGGAGAAAAGATAGCCTCTTCAACAAATGATGCTGGGAAAACTGGAAATCCATATGCAACAAAACAAAATTAAACCCCTATCTCTCACCATGTACAAAACTCAACTCAAAGTGGATCAAGGACCTAAGAATTAAACCAGAGACTCTCCATCTAATAGAAGAAAAAGTAGGCCCCAACTTCCTTAATAAGATTCCTGTGGCACAAGAATTAATATCAAGAATCAATAAATGGGATGGACCCAAACTAAAAAGTTTCTTCTCAGCAAAAGAAACAATCTGTGAGGTGAATAGAGAGCCTACATCTTAGGAGCAAATCTTTACCCCTCACACATCAGATAGAGCACTAATCACTAGGTTATATAAAGAACTCAAAAAACTAGATACCAAAAAACCAAATAATCCAATCAATAATTGGGCCAAGGACCTGAAGAGACACTTCTCAGAAGATGATGTACAATCAATCAACAAATACATGGAAAAATGTTCATCATCACTAGCAGTTAGAGAGATACAAATCAACACCACTCTAAGATTTCATCTCACTCCAGTCAGAATGACAGCTATTATGAAGACAAACAACAATAAGTGTTGGCGAGGATGAGGGGAAAAAGGTACACTCATACACTGCTGGTGGGACTGCAAATTGGTGCAGCCAATATGGAAAGCAGTATGGAGATTTCTTGGAAAATTGGGAATGGAACCACCATTTGACCCAGCTATCCCTCTCCTCAGTCTGTACCCAAAGGACTTAAAAACAGCATACTACAGGGTCACAGTCACATCAATGTTTATAGCAACACAATTCACAATAGCTAAATTGTGGAACCAACCTAGATGCCCTTCAGTAGATGAATGGATTAAAAAATGTGGCATATATACACAATGGAATATTACTCGGCAATAAAAGAGAATAAAATCATGGCATTTGTAAGTAAATGGATTAAGTTAGAGAAGAAACTGCTAAGTGAAGTTAGCCAATCCCAAAAAACCAAATGCTGAATGTTTTCTTTGATATAAGGAAGTTGATTCATAGTGGGATAAGGAGAGGGAGTATGGGAAGAATAGATGAACTCTAGATAGGGCAGAGGGGTGGGAGGGGAAGGGAAGAGGCAGGGGATAATTAATGATGGTTGAATGTGATGATCATTATTACCCAGAGTCCATGTATGAAGACACAAATTGGTGTAAATATACTATGTATACAACCAGAGATATGAAAAATTGTGCTCTATATGTGTAATAAGAATTGTAATGCATTCCTCTGTTATATATAAATAAAAAAATTTAAAAAGCACTATTTATAAGCAAAAAAGAAAAAAGATAAGTTTAAATTATTTAAAACTAATTGTTAAAAATATATTTACATAGTTTTAAAAATCAAATAATCAAATATAATTAGAGATAATTATAGTATCCTGCTCTTCATTTCCAAGTCCTAGTTGGAAGAAACCATTGTGGACCTTTTTGGCCCTTTTTCCTAGTATTTACCTCTTTATTACTAAATGCCATGTATAGATTGGTATTTCCTGATTAGGTGTTACCTCTTTACTTCTTAACATTGTAGGTGGAGCTCTAGTTTCCCACTTTACTCTCCTACCTCCCTTTTCCGTATAAAATTACATATTTTGCAATCTGGTGAAATTAGTACTCAGTATCTCATTATTTTGATTATTGAGATATTGTTTTCTGCCAAATCAACTAGTGAAATACAGTATAGCCCTTTGCTTTTTTGAAAGTTAATAATTGCCTCGTTTTTCAAAATTGCCTGGCTTTCACTATATTTGTGACTATTTATTTCAAATGCTCCACATCACTGTCACGTTTTATGAATGTTTTTCATATGCTCAGATATATCAGTTTCCTTCTTCATTTTGACAACTCCCTGCTGAAGCCCTTCTGCCCCCAGCTGCACTGTGTATTCCCTCCAGGCTTGCTGCACAGCTTTGCTCTGGAACTTCCCTTAGATGTTCCTCTGTGTTGGGTCCCTGTTTTCCTGTATATCATATCTACCTCATTTTTTAATTTACTTCATTGTTTTGTTTGAGTAATTTGTCAGTGCCCAGGAGGTAATTTTTTTTTTCCTTGTTTGTGGTGCTGGGGATTGAACCCCGGGCCTTGTGCATGCGAGGCAAGCACTCTACCAACTGAGCTATATCCCCAGCCCAAAGGAGATAAATATTTAAGGAATGGTATGTATAAAAACAGCCTTTAGTCCTCTACTAAGTGATTGATAACTTTGCTAGATGTAGAATTCTATTTGGAATTCTCTTTCAATAGTGAAGGCCTTCTAGCTCTTTTGTGTTACTCTTTAAAAAGCTGGTATCATCTAATTTCCCTCTCTTTTTCCTCCCTCTCTTTGGGAGCTTTGTGATCTGCTAATCTCTGACATTCTGAAATTTGATGATCTTGTGCATTGTGTTAGATCCTTTTGATTGATAAAAATTCATATTCTTTAGTTCTGAGAAAATTTCTTTGATAATTTATTCTCCTGCCTTTCTGTCTTTGCTTTTTTATTTTACTTTTTTAGATATTTTATATTAAGAGTCAGCAAACTGTGGCTCATACTGTGAAGGCATATCTGGCCTTCTGATTGTCTCATTTGTTTACTTCTTTCTTTTTTTTTTATACTATTATGGCAAAATGGTATAGTTGCAACAGAGACTGCGGCCTGCAAAGTCTAAGCATTTATTATCTGACCTTTTACAGAAAAGGTTTGCCAAAACTTGTTCTACTGAATGTGGGAACTCTAGATTGCATGTCTAACTTTATCTTCTGTTTTCCGAGAGATTTCTATAGCTTTTTTTTCAACTTTTTCCACTGAGTCATTTATTTCTGTCATTATGATATTTTTTTATGTTCTCTCTTTTCTTCATACATCTCATCTATGGGTGTAATAGTTTCTTTTATTTTTCTGAGACACTAAAAACCTATTTGCTTGCCTCCTGGTAGGTACTTAAAGGTACTTTGGCAAGTTGGCATTTTCCTTGGGAAAACCGTCAAATATTAGTGTCTAGAGATTGCTCTAGTTCAGTTTTCTAATGACAAATTTGTACTTTTCTGCTAGGGCAGATAGGTCCTTAATTTGCAGAGCTATAGGGACAGCTTAGATGAAGGCTATTGGACTTTCTATAGGCTTTCACCACAAATCCCGACCCCCCGATCCCTCACCCCCCGCACCATGTTTCTGAATCTAGAGGCAGTTTTTCCAAAGAATGCATACCATCTTGCATTTCAAAAAAGTTAGTATAACTGCAGTATTGTGAATATATTGGGATACAATGAAAAATGAATGCTAGAGGTCATTAGAAAAGGTCACAGAGATGAAGGAAATAAGATGCTAGTAGCTTAGAGTTATGGAAATAGACAAAACCAGATTTGATTTGAGATTTAGGTGTAAATAGGATTTATCTCTCTGTATTTTACTGTGTGATAACTAGATTATAGACCTAAGGAGCAGGAACTATATCTCTACTATTTGTATATTCCACAGCACCTGGTTCTCAGCAAGATTCAGTGTTTATTGAATGGTACTGAGCATGTTAATGTTAATGAAATTATTATGACTTGGATTTCTTACCATCATCACTGTTTAAATATTATTAAAAATCACAGGATTTGTTTGAGATATTGACTATGGTCAAAATGTTTGTTTACCGATTTAATATATATTTATGTACATATATACATATATATTTACATTATTGACCTCCATCTGGCAAGGAAGATTTATGTGTGTCATTAAAATAATGAGATTAAAAGTACTGTTAGATAATAGGTATTTGCTTAGTTTTATTCATATTTACCCTGAATTTTGTGTATAGACTTGTTCTTTGCTAGTTTGTGTAAAAGTCATTTTTGGAGAAATAATTTCATGAAGTTATCACGATTGGACTTGTGTAATTAAGAACTATCCTTTCATTTCATT